ATAGTATTTTTTATTTTATTTTTAAATATTTAAAATATTATTATTCACATCAAAAAGCATGAAAGGTAATACTATATTTTAGAGAATGACTTCAGGTCCAAAGTGAATAAATTCCTTCTTAATTTGTATACTGTTAAAAATGGATTTTTCAAAGTTGAGTATAAGAGAGAGTAAGTTGTAGTATAGAAAATACTATTTCAGCCATTCTACTTTCTACTAAATGTCATGTTTAATTTAGTGTGTTACTTGCGGTTTCTGTTTGCAAAATTTACCAGCAATGTTGGAGTGAAAAGGGTTTCAAAATAACTTTTTTCATTGTAGAAGTATTAAGCAGAACCTGAAACAATTACATCATTAATCACAATTACTGGTATGACATTTAATTCTCAGCTATCCTTTCATGTTTGTGACAGCCCTAACCACAAAACGAATACCTTCTCGCAAAAAACAAACAAACATTCGATTACCTAGTCAATAAATGAAATGAATGAGCATACACTGGATATGCATGCGTCATCAGTTCAATCATTGCACTGATAATGTCAGTGCAAATGAGGTCATCTCTGGCAGGTCATCCCTTCAACACATGACCAAACTTCAAAAGTAATATAAAAAATAATCTCACTACGACTGGCACCATGACTAATCTACCTCATTTCAGGGGACTGTCAGTGTTACACAGCCAAAGAGAGAGATCTTAATTTGGTTATCACAGCAGAAGCGAGAGCAGTCCCTCAAACAGCCCGTCACCACAGAGAACAGCAGAACAAGCATGAGGAAGCAAGTTCACAATCTAGCATTCCCTATGTTCACTAACCATGTTGTGTAAAGTCCTGTTGCAACATTTTCATGATTTCTCAAATATAATTTGGCTAGACAGTGTTATGACACTACATGATGATTCTACATCATCTGCTAACATAATGTGGCATGCTTGTTGAATCACTTCATATATAAAACCTTAAAGAATATCCTCAATATCAAAGCCTCATATTAAAGCGCAAGCATTTCCAAAAGCTACTCTGTAGGTCAACTAGTCAGACTTTTTGACTTTTTTCAGAAAAAAATTACCTGCTTTAAAAACGTTGACCCTGCTGTCCCTGCTTTTCTCCCACACAATAATTTGCATGGAATTCCTGAAGTATTTGGCTGTTTGCATACTCGAGGCAGAATAAGCCAAAGTTATCAGTTACACAAAAAAGTATAGTTTACAGTTCCTCCTGACATTCCTCCCTCTCTAAATAAATTCCCCCCTGATCATATGCCACTAAATACCGCAGCCAGTTGAGCAAAACCTTCACTAAATCAAGAGAAGTGATTTTTTCTACCCTAACTGCATTGTCAGATGACAGTTTGTGTCATACAGTATTGAAGGCAGGAAAGAGAGAAATGTGTAAGCTTTCGTGATTTTAACATCAGGCATCATTTAAATACAGAATTTCTGAAAGTGAAAGAAACTGGGTCAGTAATAATGATAAGAGATGGAATTTGCAGATGTTTTCCGTGCAAAATTTGAGGATAAATTTGATAAATCTGTGAACTCATTTGTAAGACACTATGCATAAAAGCATCTACTAAGTGAATAAAAATAAATATAACAAAACAAATTATTTGGGGCAAGTGTAGACATTTTTTAAATAATTTTACCCCAATTCTGATTAAATTTGAGTACTTTTCTGTGTATTCAGATTCTATTTAGGCCAAGAGAAAAAAGTGCCATTTGTTCTCACCATTGAAGGGGTTGATTCTTCGCGCAATCCTCTGCATTATGGCATCTCTCACTTCTCTTCTCCGCACACACTGGATACCCAGGTTCTGAAACCTGGAAAAAAACAAAGAAACAATCTGTTAAACTGTGTCGTCTGGTTTTGAGCGGTCAGATGTGTTTAGTTCTATGTATTATCCATCTTGAACACTGATCCCAAAGACTAAAACTAACAGGAAGAGTGAGGTTAGAACTAACCATACTGACATACTGTTTAAAATTGAGGGCAGACTGGAGCTCTAAGGCTCTCATTTTGCATATCGGGGGAATCCCCTACATGGCTCCCTACTCTGAAACAACATGCTTCATTAAAAAAAATAAAAGAAGAAGAATGGACAGCCCATCGGAAGAGAACTGTGGTAGTGTGTGGGCTGAAGTATACGGAAAAGCACATTGGAATGGCTTTGATGTGGGGCACAGAGATGTTTCATTTCATTAGGAGGAAAATGGTAACAGGACCAAACGAGATTAGAGCAAATTATGCAGATACTATATCTGCAATCAAAAGGTTTTTAACCTTCTGTATTTAAGTGACATTCAAATTATTTTGACATTTTAATATTAAAAGCACCAACTTACGCGATGACTCTTCGTTCAGGTCCAAACTCTGTCTCGTAATAACCATCCTTGCAGTCCTTACCCACCAAGTCATGGGGATGCGGTTTATATGGGTCACTTTTGGTCACCAGGGTAACACGTACTTTTCCTTTCACGGTAACATTTAGAATCTAATAGGGAGACATATAAGGAGAGATGCTGTTTATAGAATCACTTAGTAATCACATTTTCTTTAAAGTTTAATTATACAGTGAATTCTTTCTTCAGTGCTGTAAGACTTTAAAAGCAGATACCTGAATGCTTGGGTAGGTTCTGTTATTGTCTGAGCTTCTTTCTCCAGGTATGCTGCCCGCTGAACGACCCTCGCATTTGTACCTGAAGCGCATGCCTCTCTGTTTTGGCTGCTCGAAGATCTGAACACAGGGCTCTCCCACTGCACAGACCAGCAAAATGACATCAGTCAGATTCAGAGATTTGAATATCATTCATTTAAATATTCAAAATGATTAGAGCATGTCAAAAACTGAAATGAGTCTTATTTATTAAAATGCCAGCAGATGCATAAGAACAAGACAATGGCCTTGAAACACCTGCAGAAACAACATCTTGCGTCTTTCACAGAACCTGACCATAACCTGACCACAAACAACGCAGCCTGCCAGTAAATAATTTCCCGCTCTCTGCACCTGTGGGCACAGAACTTTACCAGCTCATCCAGGTGCCATTATACTAAGCATATCATAACTTCTTCAAACACCTGCACAAACAGCTGCATTTGGCATGCAATATATTTGGCTGTTTTTAACACACTTGCTTCTGACATTGTCACGAACAGATGAGATCTATTTGCCTATGCATTCTTACTCTGTGAAATGTCATAAAGTAAGCTGGGGAAAATGGTTATAATGCATGAAATAGAGCCAATGTATAATTTAGTGAAGTGTGCAGATGTCACTCACTACTGCCTGCTCAAGAGATTTGTCACTTACAGGAAGTCATATCTTTATCAAACAAAAGTGGAAGTAATGTAAGGAAATTTGGGTGAAAACTGGGTGACGTTTAAACAAACTTGATGAGTAATTAGGCAAAGTTTATGATCCACCCTAAGCTCGAATCAAAACATGTTATTAGCAACGACAGAATTCGTTTTACACTTGGCACAGATGAATTTAATGTACTTACTTAGATTGGGGTCCCTGTGCATTGAGAGGGTATGCACTGTACAGAAAAGCATGGATAGAAGAACATAGATGAATACAGGCAATCAGCTAAATACGTGTTATAATGCATATTATATTGTACGAGAATTAACAAGCGTGCAGATTAGAATAACAGAGTTGAAACAGCTTTTAAAAGTTCCTCATTTTTATTTCCTGGTATTACTTTGTCCCTCGTGTATTCATGTACTGACAACTCATTTGATTTGTTTAGTTTACACAAGATTTATCTAGAGTTTAGAGGTCTTAAGAACGTTGTTTTCAGGTAATGTGGATCATATTGCTTTTGTTTCGCAAGTGCTTTCTGTAATTGTACACTTCCACAAAGACAACTCTGCGTTTTATTCCCTGTAATATATAAAACTACAAGCCTGTATGTTTTTTCTTAAATAGAATCAGACTTGAAAAAGCGGAACGTTAAACTGTAAGATTACAAATTACATTGTCAAGATTTACAAACACACCAAAATATAGCATAGAAAGTCGTTATTATTGAGACAGATTCTATAGGCCTATAATAAAAATTATGAGTTGGTACATTAAGTATCTTTAATTGGCTATCTAAACAACTCATTAAAACAACAGTGCTGTCTTGAATCGACTATCTATTACATAGACTTGAACTGTACGCATAATTGAATTCGACAGGAAAAAGCAAGAAAGGGAAAAGAAAAGACAGTTACTTGATTCATTTAATAAATACTGAAACTCACCATCCATGTTATGCGAACACCCTTGTCTTAGGTTTTACGTCCGAGCTCTGAACTGCTAAACAGATATACAGTAACACTTAAACACAGAAGAGTACTGACTGGGAATTCCCCACTATATACAATTGCTCGCCCACATACCAGGTCACGCCCCTCTATGGCAAGCCGGTTTAACGTCTAATGTACTAGCTAGTGACTTTTTCAGTTTCTCTAATAACTATTTTATTAGATGCGAGTACTTTTTCCTTTACTGTTGCTCACTATTCCAATAGTGGCAAGTAACTATTCAATTGTTAGTCAAAAATATCAAATTTTTGCCTTTTTTAATTTTATGTATTCCACTTGCTGCTGATACTAATCGCAGTTGTACTAATAACTGTATATTATGTGCAAGCAGGGCCGTTTCTAGCCAATTTGACGCCCTATGCGAAATCCCTATTCCCCCCCCCCCTCCGATCCAGTGGGGGCAGCAGTCATATTTCAGGGTGACCGTGCCACTCTTTATCACAACCCTGCTAAAAGTGCCAGTACGTGCGCTCATTGGCGCCCCTTCAGCTGGTGGCGCCCTAGGCGACCGCCTAGCTCGCCTATGCCTAGAAACGGCCCTGTGTGCAAGTACACATTCTTAAAGGGGTCATATGATGCGATTTCATATAACTCTAGCCCCTGGCCTCTGCTCACTCTAGGCCTCCGCTCACTCTAGGCCGCCGTGTGTGACGCTGTGTTTCGTTGTGAAAGCAAAACTACTTTGTTTGGCCTTCCAAAAGAGGACACGACTAGAAACTTATTGGTAACTTTTCAAATAGGTCTTGTCCGGTATTCTTAGTACTTATTGAATAGGCACTAGTTTCTATTTATTAGACACTAGTTGTGTATTCCAATTGTTACTAGCTAGTAACTTCTAAGATTTTTAATTGAACTATAAAGTAGCTATTATGATCATTACTTATAAAAAGTAAAAAAGCAATTGCAACTAGTGAAATAAATGTTAGCAGTAGTAACCAAGTGGGACAGATTCTAATTTTACAAAAGTTTTTACTTTTGTTGTTGTACTTTGTGTTAATTACCACTTTCAGTATTGTAATACATATGCCATTGTCAAAATGTTTCTTGCATACCTCTTTAATATATCAAAGTAAGGAGTTTGCCAATAACATAAAAATATATTAGTGCAACAAAACATTACATATTAGACACTTCAGATTTAATTTATGCCAAAGACTATATGCAAATCTGATTAACCAACATGTTACCAGCATTCCAGTCATTTAATTCTGCCAGTAGATACCTACACCTGAACTATACATATGATATTACTCCCAAGAAAAAAAGAAAATCAAGGTTCAGATATAATTTTTTTGTGACGACAACATAGAAAATAAACCCATGGCAAATGTCATGCACACACACACACAAAATGAAGTTAGAAATAAGTATGGAAGCTCTAAAATTACATTTTGGATTTAGCAGCAGAGGCGTGAGATGAGATGTGTAAGAAATTAGTCCCACACGCAAGAGCATTTCAGAGACAAAACCTGAAAAATGTATTGAAATAACCTGAAAAACGCCTTGAGGTATGATAATTGTAGTATAAGCAGAATAATTGACGTTGAGTTGTTGAATTATTAGAGAATAATTCACATCCAAGGTGGTAAATGCAACCACAAAGCAAGTAACATCATAATTCAGGTTTAGGTATCTACTGGCAGAATTAAATGACTGGGATACTGGTAATATGTTATTCATATTGCATATAGTCTTTACCATAACTTAAATTTGAAGTGTTATCTATTATTTAATGTCTAATATAATTCTCTCTCTCCCTAATACTGTTTAATGTTAGTGGATCGTAGTCAATTCTTCCTTACATAGTGTGTAACTGAATAGATAGCAGTCACTACTGGATTAAATATCAAATACAAAATAAGTATTAGACACAAAAATAGATACTTTAGAGGGTATGCATTGATTTCACTTTCCTGCCGGAACACGCCCCCTCAGCCGGACTGAGTGGCAAAAGAGCTGCAGCGTAAATGGATTTAATAGGTAACCTGCAAGTAAAACAAATGATAATCAGTTTAAACCAAAGGTTGCTGGACTCTATATAATGTTCCTTACAACTTGCTTGGGTTGAGCACATCATTTTTTGCTTAGTTGGAACAGCAGCTACACTAATTTTTCTCTATTTCCTTCTCTGTTTCTGCCACGGGATAACTACGAATTACACAAGCTTTAGTCTGGATCCAGCCCTTACAAAGACGAACACCTGAGAAGTGATGATGCCAACCCCTCAGAAGACCTCAGATGATGCATACAAAACTACCAAATTTTGCCATAAGTTTAAACACAACATATAATCATGGCTGTTAATAGTGTTAATTGTCTGTTTGATTACATGACATTAACTGCTTGATTTTTACCGTACATTTCTGCCATATGGACATCAACTTGAGAAAGTCACCACTGATAAACTATTACTAAATATAATGTAGAAACTTTAATTTTCAGTAAAGCTGCTTTGCAACGATTTGTATCGTAAAAAACGCTATACAAATAAACTTGAATTGAATTTAATTACCAAATATCCAGTGGCCCGTGGATATCGATATGCAGCCAGGAATCGTGTTTTCTGACATTTATATGTGCCTGATCACTTATCAAATGTTATATATATCGTCATATCTTCCATCCCAAAAACGTATATTGTTTTTGTCAGTGTTTATTTAAAAACATCCAGTTATGCAGAATATAAGATGGTAAATATTTAATTCATGAGTTGTCAATACGATATATAACAATACAATATATAGGGTATGATTTTACCGCAAAATTCAACATTAACATGAAATAACCTCAAAGCCGTGTTCCACTGCCTGGAGTCCATTTGTTTCTGTGAATTGCAGCGATTCATTTGCTTCTCTTTTCTGTTGTTTTCGGCAGTCTGTAAAAATATGCCTCAGATTTCTTGTCAAATCTATTTGTACAGTCAATCGCAAAGCTCTTTCTCATTTTAGATGCGTTTTGTGTGTTCTGTCGCAGCATTCAAGCTGAAAACCAATGCTGCCACTCAGTGGGCGGAGCCGCAGTCACTCCTGCTGACTGTGAGGTCACGAGCATACCCTCTATTGAATTTATAGGCTGGTTCGACTTGAAGCAGCGCTGCGCAGAATGATTAGTGTATGACATCAAAGTACCGCCAGAGCGATTTGAAAGCATAATGGTGTGTTCACACCTGACACGAATGTAATTATTCGCGCGACTAGATTACATACAAAGTCAATGCAAAGACGCGAATAGAGGCGAATTCGCGCCGGGCGACGCGAATGACACGAAATGCGCAACGCATTTGCCGCAAACGCACGATATTCGCCTCAATCGCGTCTTCCGTGCAAGTTCAAAAATTTCAACTCGAGCGGAAAATTCGCATGACGGGTTCTCACGCAAGCCAATCATTTATTTCTCGTTTTTATTCGCGCGAGTGACACGAAAAACATCCCGCGAGTAATCTAGAGCGAGTGACACGATGCGCATATTCGCTTCGCGTCTGGTGTGAACACACCATAAGGATCCGTCTGCTCTCTTATCGCTCTTGCGGTACTTGAGGTCATACACTGATCATTCTGCGCAGCGCTGCTTCAAGACGAACGCGCCCAATAATAATTGGGCTTGCCATAACTTTCAGCGTAAGCGCAGCCAATCAAATGAGGGATGTGCATACTGCGACGTCAAATTCAAATTAAGCAGAAATAAAATGAGAAATGTCAAGGTCCTTGAAATAAATTAATACGTTTACTTTACTTTCCATTTCAACCAATAAGACGACGTTTTGAGATTTTGAAATCTCACGAAAAACTAAATTTCATACAATAAGTTTCACTTCAGTCAGTCTGACACTTGCTGAGAATTTTTACACTCTTCATGGTCACCTGCTTATTTAATTGACTATAGAAATTTCCTCTTATAAAACACACCTAAAGGCAAGGTTCAACCAAAAATGAAAATACTATCACCGTTTACACGTCTTTATATTGTTCCAATCCAGCGTATCTTTCGCTCTTGAGCGGAACTCGAAAGGAGACATTAGTCAGAATGACAGCTTCAGTCACCATTAATTTTCAACGTATGGAAAGATGCAGAGATATTGAAAGGTGACCGCTGTTAGCCACTCACATTCTGCCTAACATCTCTTTTCGTGGGTCTACGTTAGAAAGTGAGCCTATGGAACAGCATTAGGATGAGAACATGATATTGTGTGGCGAACTTATTCCTTTAAGAACCAAGGATCAACATTTGAAAGAAAAAAAGTACATGAACTCGTTCTGACACAGTTTAGCTTAACTGTGGGCATTATTATTAAGACTGAATGACCAGTAGCTCAAATTATTTAAAAAAAAAAATGGACGCCGCTTTTAGGCTATTTAAGTTCACGATACGCCACTGTTAAACTCATGTTAGGGTAATCCCCTGTATATGCAGTGGGAATCTCCCACAAACAAGGACGTTTATGTCCAACAACAGTGAGAGAATAACACTTTTTAGAGAGAAATTACGTTCTGACTTCGTTAAATTGTAAATTACAAAAATATGTAGGGTTATTAATAACATAGGGTTATTCGCATGTTAGTTTTGAGGCTCCTACATGAAGACAGTGGTTAACGCGAGGTTGTGTTTACAACCTCATTACTAAGATGTACGTCACAGGGATCGCCCATAGTATGTGACATCATCTTAAGCGATGACACTTGCCATCCGATAGCCTATACTAGGTAAAGAATAGGTATATGAAGGTACCGTTTTTTCTCCTCGTTGTAGTTCAAAGACAACTGTTTTGAGAAAGTCAAAAACCACAGGAGCCACTTTGGGGTTTTGTGAAGTTTATGTTCTTAATGTAAAGAAGGCAGTTTACATTACATACAAAAATACCCTTTGAAATACAACTTTTTGCCCTACAAAAAGAATGACAAGTAGATTTTTTTTTTAATTGTCCTAAAGGTAAGGTAAGGAAGATTCAAACTGAGTGACGAAATTAATGTCTAGATGAATAATTTGTTCAACTGCAATACCTGTGATATAAAAAATTATAACGGTACAAATAAATAAAATGTTAAGAAACCCCCAAATGAATAGTAAGTTTATGTTCTCTTTACATCCCAACAGGGTAGGACAGTAGCTTGTGGACAGATGGAGAGGGAAAAAAAAGGGGAAATCATGGAAAGAGGGCAGAAATCTAATTTAGTCTCTGTTCTTTAAGTTCAGGAGACACTGCCATCCAGACCTCCATGGGAGGCGCAGGGGTGATGCCTTAGACGCAGGGAAATACAATCATGCACATGCACACGCAAAAACCAACACTGACTCAAATAATCACAAACTCTTTGTAAAACCAAACCTGCCTTTAAATGTTGGCCCAACAAACCCAAACCTCAGATCTAATACTGTTCTTTTGTTCTGAGCGGTTAACAAAACTATGGAGTGGAAGCAGCGTTTACTGTGATAGGTAATGGAGTCTTGGTTTTTAGTTACTAATGCTGGTCCATCTACACACTCACACACATACGCACCCCACACAAAAGGTCCTCCCAGAAACTGAACCAGAACAGATACAGCGAATACAAAAAGACTGCAAGGAAAACCTTCGGACAAACAATGAAGAACCTCATTTACAGTGACAAACAGGACAATTTTTTTTCAACTTTTTTTGGTTAATAAAAACTACATTAAGGTGGCATAGAAAGACTAACAATGATTTTTAAAGTTATATACAAACTACATCTACTGTACAATGTGTTTCAAAAGCTCAAATAGATGTTTAAGCAAGCATTCTGACACGGTAAGGCATAAAAATAAAAAAAACTGGGGGAAAAAAAAAATCAATACTTTACACTAACTCTGTAACAAGCAGGAAGACCAGCCAAATATCAGTAGCAGTTTAAAAGCAGCACTGCTGTTACACAAGTGTAGGTCCACTCTTTAAGGGACAACCTGTGCAGACAGATGTTCAAGAAGAGGGGAAAAACAAATTAAAGGGTGAATCAAAAAGTGGCAGCAACAGTAACAATTCATGTTACCTGTAGATAGCTCATTGTTATCGGTTAAGAGTGAGCCTGATTGAATTTTTAATCACACGGAGGTTGCTTGTGGGAATTGGGGAAGATGCATCTGGAAGCTCTTTACTGGGTAGTCTCTGAAAATACAAAAGACAGTCAAAAATCATTTCAATTTCAATATGGACTTCAAATTATGATGATTACTACATGTCAATGACCTGTGATCTCGATGTATCAATTGTTGGTATTGGCATAGGTTTGGTTGCTGAAAGACCCTCCTGTGTCCAAAAAAAGAAAGAAAAGTTTTTTGCAAAAACATTGCGTGAGGTCTTGTGTTGATGCAAGAAAACAGTTTCAGTATTAGTGAAATGAACCAGTTGTGGTCAATACCTGTGAGTAATGCAGTAAACATGAGAAAAAAAAACCCCTCACCACTGTTGGACCCTCTTCACCGTCCAAGCCATTACTATTTGGAGGGTACGGCTCTTTAAACGCAGAGTCATCTGAAAACACCTGAAGAAAAAGACAACTCATTCACATATTAAGGCATGCTTGAAGTTTTTAGACTAGATTATATGAGTGATCTACAGAAAGGGTGATCAATTGTAATGGATTTCTTGGCCTGTGTATTGTACAAGAGCTTAGCACCTCTGTATCTTTGTGCCTCTTAGGTGGATCTTCCAGAGATGGAGAGTGAGGTCTCTTTGGTGCTCCATTGACACTGTTGGGCAGTTCAGTTAGGCCAGGGGAGGAAGAGGTAATGCGGGGTATCACACTGCGGCCCACCACTGTAGGAATGGTGTTGCCAGCGGGAGGTGTTGGGGGCTTGGCAACTGGAGTGGCGATGGGCTCTGAAAAAACGAAGTACTAGATGAGTGGAATCAGAATAAATGTAGCTCAATTCTTACCCCCCCCCCGGGTGTTTCCCCAATAGAAAAACAGGAACAAGTCCATAACAGAAGATATGACGGAACTTACTGGATCCGATGACTGGAATGGACATTCCCTGTTCTGGTTTTGGAGGAGAAACTTCTGATGCTGGTGGGCTGTCCATGAATACAAGGACTGGATGCTTGGGTGGGCTGATACTACTGAAAAAGTTAGTTAATACAGAAACAAATTAAGACATTTAAGTAATTGTAAGTAATTTTATGTAACAGCATTTTGACATTACAGCTAACGCCCATTTAAACATTTCTTGAGTTTGAGAATGAGGCCATAAAATGAGCTTAACCACAAAAAACCATGACACTCTTACATGCAGTTTGTGACATTTATAATTTCCGCACTGAAGCAAGTGTAGAGTAATATCCAAGTCTTGTTTTCGGTTCCAACCCCTAGACTTCTAAAAGCTTTCTGGCAGTCAACAGTGATACCATAAACTGAAAATGGCATTTCAGTATATTGGAGAGGTATGAGGCAGTTGGCTTAAAATCTTGTGATCTTTCAGAAATCATTTCGAATCATTTGGTCTGAACTAGCTAAATCAAAAATATTTCATCCTGATCAGTGACACTACCTATCTTCAGGTGTGGAGGCTGGCTGGCATGGTTTGCTGACTGGTGTAGGAGAGCTGAATGGAGTGCCGATGTCGGTGTCCCTGGAGCTGTCCAGCTGACTGCTATCCAGAGAGCAGCGCTTTGACCCCCCACCATTTGAGCTCCGATTTATATCTCCCAAACTCTGCCCAAAAGAGAGATAGGATACAGTTGCGATATAATTTAGCTTCTTTACAGACTAAGAGTATTGAATTTTACTATAAACACTACGAGACTTTTTTTTTTTTTACCTTCTTCTTCCTCTGCACAAGTTCAGGAGGCAGGTAATGATGCAACTGTTTTTTCTTCACATGTGTGGCCTCAATAGTCATGCCATCCTTTAGCATGTTGATATTGCTGGCCTGCCTATAAACTACAATGAAACACAGCTTTTAGACATTAAGGGTGTATTCACACCAGGAAAGTCGGCTAGTTCACTTGCTTTGGCCTGGACCAAATATAATGTTGATTTTTTTTGTTTGGTGCGGTTCACTTTCATACTGCCCTTTTTGCAAGTGAACCAGAAATTGTAAACAAAACCACACGTGTGCCAAGTTCATCCATTCATTGGACATAAATTCTCAAGCAGGGAAAAGCAGCAAGTGCAAAAACAGGCTAATCATGGAGATCTTTCTTAGTGCAGTTTTTATTCTTTTACTGATTTGGTGTTATCAGATACTAACGCAATATTAATAAACTTATGAGCATTATATGAGACAATGTCATATGGTGCTGTAATTGCGACTTGCACCAAGGGGGGAAATTAACTTGAGTTTGATTCAATCGAACCAAACAAGACAGGTGTGAATACACCCTAAAAGACCCCAATTTGTAACAATTACATCCACAAGACATGAGCATAGAGGAAAACTGAGAAGCTTACCAGTATCCGTGAAGGACTGGATGTCGTAGGTCAAGTCAATATTCACACAGTCAGAGTTGTCCAGTTTTTTGAAGCTGATTCCAATGAACCACATGGAAACAAATTCATTTCTGTGGGAAAAAAAAAAAAAAAGCATAAAAATCTGTTATAAATTTGCAAGTTCTAAAAGTCAGTTGAGCAGTCTGTATATACTGGCCATTTAATATCAGCGCCTGCTGTTGGAAAACTCACTAGCACTTTTTCACTTTTGTACTGTTCCATGGCCCCAAAATAAACATGGGTATTATAAAATGTTGATTAAAGGTAATTTAAAGAAGCAGAAGCTGAAACCCTGAGCATACTTCTAAAACCAAAATTTTAAAGGGGTCATATGATGCTATTTTAAAGATCATTATTTTGTGTATTTGGTGTAACAGAATATGTTGACATGCTTTAATGTTCAAAAAACACATTTTTAAAATACTGTACATTATTGTAGGTCCTCTATGCCCCGCCTCTCTCAAACTCTGACAAGCGCAGTCTGCTCTGATTGGCCAGCTAACTCAGTGCATTGTGATTGGCCGAACACCACAAGCACGCATCGGAAATGTAACGCCCCTTACCATAATCGCGAGCTTCAAGCTTTCAAAGGGCAACAGAGTCACGTGACAGACACGGTGATTATGCAGTACACAATCCGTGGTTAAGACAGCTGACGTACGATGATTTCTGACAGGCAGTCCACTCTCCTGTGATGTGACCCTGTTCCCCTCACACACACACACACACACACAAAACATTAACCTTGTGTTTGTTATAGCAGAAATCCAGTACAACGGTAGAAATGTGTCAGCTGGTAGAGATTTCGCAATACTGTGCATGACAGTTATGAATCCATGCAAGACTGCTTTGCATTGTTTACAGAATTTCCTTGAGTTCAAAAAGTTTGGCATTGTACCAGAGGCATGCCATATTATAAAATAGTGTAAATCTTATTTCCTTTGCTATAAATACATGAAACAATCACTACATCATGACATACCATTATGGTCATACACTGAACAAAATTATAAACGCAACACTTGTTTTTGCCCCCATTTTTCATGACACAGATTTAGACAGATTTGTGAACAATATTCGAGAGAAATAGGCCTTTTGTGTACATAGAAAAAGTCTTCGATCTTTGAGTTCAGCTCATGAAAAATGTGTGCAAAAACAAAAGTGTTGTGTTTATAATTTTGTTCAGTGTATAAACAATCATAGCTAGATAAAACATCTGGTCTTGCCACACACTCATCTGTTACTTACTCATTGTGATTCTCTTTTGACCCGGGAAAAGACTGTGGGTTGACATGGGCAAGGGTGATGTACTCATTGCGCTCCAAATTTCCAACCAACACTCTTATCTTTGATTCTACCAGTCCAATCCTGTTGAGGCCAGAACATCATTATATGAAGATTCTGTGATTCCATTCCCAGAACCCAATTTTTAAATCAGAGAACTGATTAGAGAGTGTAGATAGTGAATTTGCAAACTGTTGAATATTAGGGGTGTAATGGTACACATACTCAAAAAATTTCGGTATGCATGTGTACAGAGCAAATACAGTGTTGTTTTAACCACTGCATGTGCGGAATCTAATTTGAAACTTGCAGTTTTAAATATCATTATTTTTGACAGGAAACAAAATCTCAAATTCCGGCAATTTTTGTTTTTTTCAGGAAATACAAACAAAAAATGC